AAACTTATGTAATACACAGATATGCTGAGGAGAAACCCAAAAAGTCTTAAAAACGATTATGTAAATTTCTCTAACAAACCTTTCTTTTTCTTCCTGTGAACTATTCATCATCTGAAAGAAACTCTGTGGAATTCGATATGTGAACCAAAAAAACGATAATTTTTTTTTCTTTCTCTGCAGTATACCTTCCTCAGTCTCATTTTTTGCAAGATGCTATATGGCAGTACTGGTTTTGTAGAAACTAAAGTACTAGTTTAAAAAATTATTTAGGAAGCGGATCAGATTAAAAAACTTTTTTCGTTATTTTAGAAAAGGAAAATCTTAAGGGAATTATAATTATCTTTGCAGCAATCCTTTTAATCAAACACTACACAGCCATCAGATGATAGAAGCATTAGATTAGCATATGCTGAATGACGCTTTTTGATCAGCGCTTCTAGAGTTCTAGCCCTCCAAAGGAATAGCGTGGTTCCCTATCAAAGGGGCTCCCTGTCAGAGGACAACAACTAAAACGTCATAACCTGTCAAAACAACGTTTACATGACTCTGACGCAACACGTGGAAAAATTGAGGATTGGGAACCTAGGAAAAAACGGCAACGACAAGAAACTGTTATCTTGTTGGTGCGTCAAAAAAATGTCCTTGGTTTAACGGCTACTCATCAGTGTTTTTTCTCCTCCATTATACATTCTTCTAATTTCCGGTCCATCATAAATACGAAAAACTTGATAAAATAATTCTTATGGGCATCAAAAATCAAAATGAAGAGTAAAAAAAACAATAAAAGAGAAAAAACTGTGATGATCATACAGTGATTATCCTTCGAAAGAATGAAATGTATGCGTTTTGTTTTATTCACATCAACCTTGCTTACCAATGACAGGCGGCTCCACGAAGGACATAACACTGGGATGAATCATTACTAATGATTCGTCCAAATACAATACCAACAGTTAATTGCGGCTTTAGATGCTAAAATTTAGTATTTTTTTCTTACAAACAGTTCAGAGAAATTGGACGTTAAGAGAGAAATAATATTATTTCACTGTTTTCAACAGCATCAGTACCATCACGACTAACACCGCCAACAACAACAACTAGAAAAATATTGAAAAACACTGACAGGTAAGTTGCCTATTGTAAGTTTTCATTTTTATTTTGAAGAAAAAAGTCCTCCCGCACAATAAATCTTCACCTTTTGATAACAAAAAAAAAAAAAGAAGAAAATCGCTTTTCTTTTCATCGTTCAGGAAATCAATTTCTGAAAGCAGAAATCTTTCGCTCAAAAAATTCATTTAATACATTTACATATTTAGTATAGATATTTTTTTCAACTACAAAATTTTGTGATAGGTTACTTATTTCACCTTTTTTTTTTTAATCAGAAATCAAATTCATACCCACCAAGTAAATGATTTAGAAAAAAAGACTATAAACCACCTAGTAGTTCCTAGCCACCCTTTCCATTTTTTGTTAATGAATCCGTTTACTTTTTCAAAAGAAAAAAAAGCTGTATGGCCGACGTGGCCGTTTTATTCCCTTGTCATACTGATGGACGAAACCAGCCTCGACAGGGCAGCAGTAACAACAACAACAATAACAACGACAACAACAATAACAATAACAAAAAGGGCAAAACCAAAAAAAAATTTATTCTGCCATTTTAGCTTCTCTTATTAGCATCACAGACCTATGCTGATACTACTGTCAGCAACAGCAGTCCAGCTGTTTAAAAACGGAAATATCATTATAGAGTGCCTGTCGTTTTAGCAAAAGAACTGCATGCATGTTAAGGAAACATAGTAACGAAACTCCATAAGGTCAACAGAATTTTGCTAACAAGTACGAACCCTAAACTAACAACAAATTTTTTGCACTCGAATGGACATCATCCAAGGTTGTAAAAGATAAACGACCACCAAACACCGCATTCCCAATGACGGCTGTACCGACGACAAATTTAAAACAATATTCAATTTTAGCGCGCTGTTGTTAATCACATTTGGCAGCTGGCCAATTTGATGAAAACATTCGGTGCTTCACTGCAACAACTTCAGCAGCAGCAGCATCACCACCATCGGCATCAACAGCACCAGCACCAGCAACAACAACAACAACAACAACAACGGCATAGAGTATAGCACCCAATATCTGAATGAACGAACGATGACCGTCGGGTGCTGTGAATGGTCTGAAGTGTGTGTACGCAAGCAGGCAAGCAAGCAAATCAACCAGTTGGCCAGCAAGCAACAGCAGCAGTATCGAATCGACACAATCTTGTCCTCAGCGGATCATCGGTTGGTTCAAAAACCAGAGTTGGTGTCAACTTTATTGAGGGTGCTTTCCTGTTGTTACCAGTTAGTTATTTCGTTGCTGTTTTTTCCACCCATTTGCTTTTTTTTTTTTTTTTTTTCTTTTGCAATCATTTCTTTTTATTTCACTTGAAAGTTTTTTCAAATGACATTTTGATTTTTAAAATCATTTGAACATTTTTACTGACATACGATTGCAGTCTATATGCACTTAAAGTTTTTTCATTCTTCTTGCTGAATGTTTTTTTGCATTTTCCGCGCGACTATTGAGGAAGGGTTTTCTTTAATTAATCAACTCCTAACGGCCCTACTTGCTGCTGTCGCTGTTCATCTCCCATTTTTTATTTCCTTTTATCTACCTTTTTTTACTTTTATTTTTTTTTATACTTTGTACTTTTGCCGCGCTTTTTTACACCTATCAGAGCTGCCGCACTGATATGGAAAAGAACCAGTTCATTGATTTTTGGTGTTTTGAATTTTTTTTGTTCTGCTTGAAAGTTTTTATTGCATGTTGGGAGGGTAGAACAAAGCAAAGATAGTCTTTGGTAGGAGTGTAAGCCCTAATCAAGAAGGGGAGGTTAAATGTAGCCTTATAATACGAACTTAAATGTTGGTCGGTTTTTGCTCAACAACAAATGTTTTTAATTTTTTTGAAAATATTTTAGAAAGTTTTTGCATGTTTATTTCATTGGTCATTATCAAGCAATAATTTTAGTATTGCCAGTCGAAAGGAATATATTATTTTCACGGTTGGTTTTGTTTTTTTTTTTACTAAAATGAAACAACAAAATGGCGGGTTAGTGTTAAAAAAACAAACTGCTTTTGTTTGTCTATACAAAATTGCTGTAACGCTGTATCAAAATAATTTATTTCGGTTAACAGGTTGTAATCGAACAAATTACTAACGATTTTTTAGCTATTACCAGGTGAAAATGGTCAGGATTTGGTGTGAATATGCAGCGGGACCTGTCTGTTTAGAAAGAAACGATATTTTCCTTTTCTCAAATTTTATTTTCCTGTTTCTTTTAGTATTTCAAAACAAACATCTATCGTGCAACCGGCAGTAAGAAAATGTCAAGTATCCCGTTTATTTTCAACAAGGTAGCTTTTTTGGCTATGCAAAAACACCTTTTCACATTATTATGTACAATTTTGAAGAAAAAAAAAATTTTTTTTGTTATTTTTTTGGAACCGTTAAGTATTTTTTTGATTTTTTTTTTGATTATTTGATGTACACTATATTTCTGAGCGTTGCTCTATGCTTAAAACTATTTATAAATCCTGGAGTCAGTTACTGCTGAATTTTCACTGCAAAAAATTGGCTACAAACTAAGCTCCGTATACACTTACTTTTATAATAACTCAGTGATGTCGTCCATTTTGTGGAATCGTAACGTGGCTGTAAAAACGGCAAGGCATCATGCTGTATTTGATGAACTGATTTTAGAATAGTTTATTAATGTTTATTACAGGCTATAGAAAGCGTCAAAAAACAGAGTTCAGTTAATTAAAAATTGCTTTATTTATTTATTTTTGCAATTATTCATTCACTATTTTCCATTTTCATGATTCAGTACTGCTGCTGCTGTACGCTTACTTTTTATTAGTGAGTTTTACTAGAGATGACATGGATGACCCTTGTTATTTGTTTATTCATTTATTCTTTTATCTTTTGGATATATTGTGTTAATAGCGAGTTCTCGCTATTCAGCAAGAGCTAGCCCATCGTCATTTTTGCTTTGAATTTTTGGAACACTTTGTTTTACTTGATCGACGGTATCTGGTATGCTAAAAACGGTTCTTATTATTCGCTCAGATTTCGTAATGTTGGATTGCAATTAGATTTTTGGTCTTATTTTTTTTTATTTTCTGCCATTTTAAGATGCTTTCTTTATGGTTTTTTAAGATTGCCTTTATTGTTTCCTACGTTTAAGTTCGGCTTTTTTTTTCCATTACTTTTCGTTTGTATTTTTTATTTTATTTTTATTTATTTTTTTTTTTGTTTACGGATTATCAAAATCAAAGTTTTGAAATACTGATTTTGGGAACTCCTTTATATGGCTGTGGTTGCAACACTGGTATCCAATTATTTTCACTTTGAAATGGAAAGCAGAGTCTTGAACTTTTTTGTGTCACAGATATTGTTGCTTAGGTTCAAGTAAAGTTGGAGTAGTCGTTGGCGATTTAGTTTCTCGTCTGAAATAATTTTTCATTGTTGTTAATACACTTTTCAGGCTTCCAATGCGGTTTACTCTTCGCCCCAAAATCTGAAGTTGACTTATTTCGACGCATAATAAGCAATACTGCCAGCTAAGGTTTTTAGCTACGCATCTTGCGTAGCTTAGCGACTATGCGTGAATTTAAGGTTTGCTAAAATCTGTTACTTTTTCCAGAGATGATCAATCTTCATTAACTTTGTATTGCTCGCGTATTTTCACTTCGGGATGGCCTTATTGTTGTTCTCAAATATTTTTAAAATAAGATGTTCCTGGTTGTCGAGAATTGAGCTGGGATCTATTTTATCAGATGTGGAGTAATAATAAAAATTTTGAGAGATACTAAGATCTCAGTACTTTAAAAAAGTCCTCGCATTCTGTTATGTTTCAAACTGCAATATCTTTAAAACTTTAGAGTATTGTGTAAAATTCTTTCAGGCTTGATATTGATGACTATGAATTTTCTATTTAGGTTGTTGTACTAGGAAGCGGCGGGGTTGGAAAATCTGCTCTCACGGTTCAGTTTGTTTCCAATACTTTTATCGAGAAATATGATCCGACGATTGAAGACTTTTATAGGAAAGAAATCGAGGTTCTATTTTCTTTGAATGGTTTTTAACAGTTTTGGCATGGAGGGTCTTACATAGCAGGAAAAAAAAGAGAAAATTTTTACGCTTCCATTTGTTGAACCCAACTCAGTTAGCTTCTTTTTGACTTTTGCATGGAAATGGTTTCGATGGTCTGTCAGTGTGTATTAAAGCTTTAGAAGTTAGCAAGAAGTTTATCTTCTAACGACTTAGTCTAAATATCATCCCTCGTTTTTTCAGTTCATTATCTTTTCTTTTCCCACTTTTTTTTGTAATTGCGGCAGCATTTAACGAATTTTAGACTTAATAATGGTTTATTATTTAGTCAACAAGTATTTTAAATATTGGAGGCTAATAATGAGTTCAATTTTTTTCTAATTTGTAAATTTTATACTGAATAATTTTATGAAATATTAATACTAATATTAAATTTTAATCTTCGGCTATTAAACAGGTTGATGGGCAGCCATGTGTTCTTGAAATTCTTGATACAGCTGGAACTGAGCAGTTCGCTTCTATGAGGGACCTGTATATTAAAAATGGTCAAGGCTTTGTTGTAGTATATGCTATTACCAGTCAACAAACCTTCCACGACATAAGAACGATGCGCGACCAAATCGTTAGGGTAAAGGTAAGGGTGTTCTATTCAGCTAACAGAATAACTTTTGAAAAAGAATTTTTTTTAAGTTGGGGGACGTAAAAGTATTTGCCTGCTATTATTAATTTCTGGTCTGTAGTTTTCCTTAAGTTATATTTTCATTAAGTTCTTATAATTATGTTGTTCATTAATTTAGGGTACAGAGCAGGTGCCTATATTACTTGTAGGGAACAAATGCGACCTAGTTCATCAACGACAGGTATGCTTTTTAAAAAAATCACCTTTAGTTCTCAAGTTCTCGTTCTCTCTTATGTTACTTATATAAATGCTGCGCTGTTTTATGGCTGGCTTTGTCAGTGTAAATTGTTGGAATGGTCTATTCAGGTTTTTTTTAAAATGTTCTTCAAGAGTGGCAGGAAAAGCCTCTTTGGTGAGGTAAAGTTTTGTAATGGAGGTTTGTTAGTAGCAATATGAAGATAAAATGGTCGTAAAGATGTTGTACATGATAAACGTTTCAGTGTTCTGCTGCGCTATTTTCTAATTTTATTTTTTTTCGGAAAGTAAAATCTTATCTATAGAAATTCTTTTGTTTTTCTTCGTAATTACTCATGGACTGAAGTGAAAGGGCTGAATTTATAATTGTGGATGTTACTGCTGAGGATATTTTTTTACAGGTAAGAAGCGAAGATGGACTAGCTCTTGCTGAGTATTGGTCGTGTCCGTTTACAGAATGCTCTGCTAAAAACGCTCATAACGTAAATACAGTGTTTGCCGAAATAGTTCGCGAGATGAATTACATCCAGAGCAATCGAGCTAATCAAGGACGTGACTGTTGTACCTTAATCTGACATTGATTTTGTGTTTATTTTCCTTCGTTATAGAAAAGAATAATATAAACTTTATAATTCTTTTAAATTAAATTAAAATATAACGCTCTTGTACAGAACATTATAGGGCTGCTGTCGGGTAGTTTTGGAAAGACGTTTAGTGGTCTTTCGTGAAGAAAGAATTTTTTCTTTAAAAAAACCAGGATTTTTATGTTTTGACATAGTTGACTAAAGAATCTATGATGGACTTTTTTCTGAGTGTTATTTCTCGCATTTATGCAGCATTATTTTGATCTTTATTGAGATTTTTGCATCGAGGTGCTTTTGAGGGAAGAAATGTTGTCTTCTCTTTGTAGTTTTTGGTCTATTTGGTTGTTCATTCTAAGTGCCGTTGTAATTTCTTCTGCTATAAGTATTAGTTTTTCGGGTTTCTTATTAAATGTTCTTTCATATTTGGTTTATGTTTTCTATGCGTGAATGTAGTTTTGGATATATTTAAGAACTGATTTTAAGGTTTTATTCTGGTAGTAAATGATATGGTAATTTTTATTAAATTTATTCAAATTTTTTCATAAGTTTTGTTATTTTTTTTAAATTGCTCACAGTTGTAAATTTTTGTCGCAGCTCACCTAATGTTCTTCCTCACAGCTGTTCATGTTCGTTCATTACCCATTGTATATTGAAGCATTTCATTCACTTGCTGCTTCCAAACATCTGAAAAAAAGAACATTCTTTTTTTTTTATTTTATTGTAAAGCCTTGTACTATGTGTTTCAGTTGTGAATTGTCTGTGAATAAGTTAAATTTCTATTATACAAGATTTTAACTCATTAATATTCTTTCTTAGGAGTTTTATCATACCAACCAGAAAAAGTCAGTATACTATGCCGCATTATCTGGTAACTTCTTAGACGAGCTTACCATCTCAATGTTGTTAGAAGAATTTTTGAAAATTGAATCATAAGAGTATAACGAAGTGTTTTTTTTGTAAGCTTTTTTGAAACTGCATTTATAACCAGAACAGGTGCTGTCCTTTAGTTTTTTTTTGTTTTTTTATTTTTATTTTTCTGTTTTTATTTTTTTTTTTCTGTGGTTGGTCTGTTTAATTCCATATCTACTTTTATGATTGCAAACTACTTTTGAAACGCGTTCATATTAATTGATTGTTGGGTTCTTGTGTTGCACATAATTAAAAATTCATTAAATTGATTATTTATTTTTGATTACTACAGTGTTTTTGAAAATGCAGATGATTAAAGCGTGATACATCTTTCAGAATATTGCCTTATTTGTTTACAAAAAAAAAAAAAGCAGTACGATTTCTTTACAAATTCTGAGAGCAGGAACTGCAGTAAATTGCTCTTTTTTAGGTCAGTTAAGAGGGTTTTGAAGAAAAGCGATGTTCTTGCCAGGCAGGTTTGGAGCGACTCTCACTGCGGTGAGCGGACATACTCACAGTGTTTTGGGACTGATAAGTCCTTGCTCCGTCGAAATACAGCAAATTCGAGGTGGGGGGAGGAATATTTGCTTTCCAGATGTCCATTAGGAATTGACTGCTGATCAAGTAATGAACAGAACTTCAGGGCGTAAACGCAACTTGAAGGCTGGGATATCAAAAGCTGAAAGGGCGGCTAGAAGAGCAGCTAGAGAAGCCAAAGAAGCAGCGCGAAAACAGTACAATTTTATGGAGAGGCACCAGATTCGGCGCATGAAATCGTTGTAAGTGAAAACCCCAGACTCATTGTAAAATTGGCATTTCAAAAGTTTTTGTCTAGTTTTGTCATTTGTAAAGGAATAAGGTCATCGTGCTAAAGGAAGCATTGCGAAAATTATCTTCTGGTCCATTTTTGGCGAAAACTATTGGGGTGGAATTAGGACGGAGTTACGTTTCAAGCATAATCTCTAGCGAGTAGTTTGTGTATCTTTCTTCAAAACATAGCTACTAAAAAGCTCGAAGAGTTGTAGTAAAATTCATTGAACTGTATTTGATCAGGTACCACGATTATTTTGGTTGTTGTGCACTAATAGCAATGGCAGGCGAGTTAATTGATATTTTTAAAGTTTGCTTTTGTTTACTAATATTTGAGAGTCAGCTTGTTATGAGACGAAATATAATTAGATAAAAGCTGGGATGTCAAGTTCAATTATTATAACGTATGAAGAAGTTAGGAATTGGGAAATTTCATTTTGTTGAGATGCTCGTCGTCACTATTTAGACTTTCTCCATCACAACAACATCCTGGACGCTATTCTAGCGAAGAGGAGGCAAATTTACCCGAAAGATTGGCTACAAACGTATATATTAGAGGGACAGTAAAAACACGATTTCATTCTATATCAGAGGCTTTAGAATTCCATCGGTAACGCCATAATTTAGAAATAGGACTTTTGTAATTGGTTAAGTTGGGATATTAAAAATTGTATTACGGTATTTGGTAATCAAAAATTTAAATATTCGGATAAATGTAAGCACTTCTGTTGCTTAGATGAACAATTGAGTTGGTTATTTATTTTGCGGAATTACTTTTTTGTTGTTCTTTTATAGTGGTGTAATAAAATTCACTTATTTTTGTTTTCAAATGCTTTTTAGAAACAGACACAACTTTTTTTGAGCTGCTGCTCTATCTATAGTTTCTCCGTTCTAACTTTTATTATAGAATCTCCTTACTCGGTATTAAGAATTAAAATGATTTTTTAGAAATATTCTAATCCACTCACGTCTTTTTTTGTTTTAGGAGGCTGCAAAGTCCCTCTATATACAATAATCCAAACTCTTTTGTTCGTTTACGATTGGAATTGAACATGACAACTGAAAAAGCGGTACCATTTTAGATCAGTTGTTTTCTTCCATATTTAAATAACTAAACTTGTTGGTTTAAGTTCAGATGGTTTGATAAAGTAATAAGAGAAAGACGAAGTAAGTGTATCTTTGAAACCTTAGTCCCTATTGCTGCTACTCCATAAGGCGGATCCTTCGCAGATGCTAAGTTTTAGAAAAAGTTTAGTTTACGCTGATTTCGGGACTGCCAATTTTTTACTATGGCGTTGTAACAATGGTTTTAGCGTTTCTGGATCAAAAGATAGTTAGCGTCTTCCTTCAAAAGTGTTGTGTCATTTCCCCTTCTCAAAGGGCATTTGTCTTTCAATTTTTTGCCTTCTCCTACCAACCCCGCAGTTCCTGTCTTGTATACAGACATATTGAAAGGTCACTCCTGGGTGTCTTATTTATCAGTAATTGCGAAGCTTAGGATTAATTGAATGACTAGTCGCGAGCGACAGTGCTGTAGAACATGTGTGTCAACTGGCATTGCAATTGGACTGCTAAATAGTTTTTTGATAGAAGAAGTTAGAAATTTGGTTATGTCGGTGCGCAAATTGTTAATGGTATTTTACTTTTGAAGTTTTTGTTTCTTCTCAGTTTATTTGCTAAATAACCCTTGCTTTCAACGAGTGCTGCGAGTGGAATTTATGCTATGCACGGGAGGTCGTTTGTTGTGTTTTTCAGTTTGGCTGTTTTTTTGTTTTAGACTGGCATATAAATTCATGCCATTTTTGGCAAGAGATATTAAAAACAAAATGCTTATCAGTGACGAAAAAAAGGTAACCGCAACAAGGACTCAGCTTTGCTTTCGAAATGTGTGTTTTGCACGGCGCTTCCTTCTTGATGTCAAATCAGAGTATAAGTGAAAACTACAGAACAGTTTAGGGTAGTTAAATATGCTTATAGTATTAGGAGAATACGTGCCCTATCTCCAAACTTTCTTTACTTTTAATATTGTGACCTTACTGAGCTTCGCAGGAGTAAAGGATGAATTTGCGGATGCTAGCTGTTGGAAAGAATAAAATCATTGCGTGCAGCAAATTTAAAGATTTTTTCTAGTTAACACTTACAGCAGTGCTCTTAATGTGTCGGTTTTTCAACCAGAGTAATTTTTAGACTAAAACAGTGCCTAACTCTGAAGAAATAGTTCCTGTTCCATATCCTTTCGTCCACAATGAAAAACGTGCAATTTTGGCGTTTGCTCATGATGAAAAGCTGCAAGAACTGGCGGTAGAAAAAGGTGCAGAAATTGCTGTTGGGCCAGAAGTGGTGAAAAAGGCTAGTCTTTCTTAAATATTTTATTTTCTGTCCTACGGGATATCTGTTAACAACATTTTGATCCAGATGCGTAATTTGAGAAGAGATATTTGAAAAAGTAATAAATAAATTTGTTTTCTCATATCCGCAGCTTCTATCGTTTTCATCCTATTATCAAAAAATTTTGTTTTTAATGAAGTTTTTAAAACAATAGAGGCGTTCTGAAAGTAGTTTTCTAGCTGGTTCAGGTCTTGTTACTTAATGGTCTTTGCTGTGCGTAGGTCTTTTTTCTGAACTTATGAGGTAAATTTTCAGAGGAAGCTCATTTTAAGAGGGATCTACGTAGGTTTAGTTAAAGTACCATCTGTATTATAAATATTATCTTTTTTTGGTTTCTTACGAATAGATTTAAAAGAGCTAGGACTAAATAAAAATAAGTTCTGAAGAAAAAGGCTTTTGTTGCCAGATGAACACTACTAGTGCATTCAGATTGTGAAAGGTCAGTTCCGCATTGACGATTACGACTTTTGTGTCGCTCATACTGATATGGCTCAGTATATTACACCTTTACGTGGTGTTCTGAGGTCCAGATGCCCTAGTAAATTAAACGGTACTATTACAAAACACAGTTCGAGCTAAGAGGATGTTAGAAAAAGAAAGTAAAGGACAGGATTTGTTGTAATGAAAGGTCTTTTGAAAAAAAATTGGATTTTTAGTAAGTAATCATAAAGACTGTAAGATTTAACCAAACATTGTGATCTTGAAATAGTATACACATCCAATTTTTTACAAAATGGAAGCTTATTGCAACATTTATACCTCATTTTCCCTTATAAAACATTGTTTAGGAGCACTTGGTGACGACTTAGAAGTAGTAATTGGAAAGTTTAAAAATGGAATAAGAGTAAAGATTGCAGGAGACCCTGTTTACCCAATCTGGGGTTTAAGCAACATCATTGTTGGGAAGGTTCCTTTTTTCAAATTCATCCGTTATTCTTCCTGGAAGTGTAGGTAAATATCCACAATTTTCAGTTACCTATGGAAAACGAACAGATCGAGGCGAATATAGCATGTGTAGTAAAGGCTGTTTGCAAACATCGAAACCCTGCTTTAGGTAAATTTTAATTTGTAAGTGAGTGTATAAAACACCCCATTGCTTTTTAAGAAGTTAAAAAAAGGTTGGAGAACAACTCTCCCACCACAGCCAGGACTGCCTTAATTTCGGTCCTTTCAGGTCCTTTTATTAATCGAGCAGTTCTCATGTGTGGTTCTGCAAGTGCATACTTCCCCGTCAATCTCCAAAAGTTTGTTCCAGTAGCTTCTGAAGAAGAAAAAGAAAAGGTTACAGCCAAATTAAAGTTCCTTAAAGAGAGACCATGCAAGTTAGCACCCGCCGCGTCGGAAGGCAGTGGCGGATGTTGAAGAAAATTTCTCTCTTCATGACAATTTTGCTGCATTAGTAACTAACAAAGGGTGTAAAATTGTTATTCTTAAGGTGATGAAGAAGAAGAAGGGTCGAAAGGCTCCAGTTCAGTCGGAAGACGCAGTTGCCAATCCGGATGCAACGCAAGTGGTAGCATCATAACCTAAATCAAGTTCCGGAAATGACGCCCACTAGTCCCAGAATCCAAAACTCGATGAGTGTTTAGTACCTATATCGGCAAAACTGGCTGGTGGTAATGAGCAGCTGTTTAATATTTTAGATAATTCAGTTAATGACAGAAGCAGTGGATATGCGGGTAACCGAAAGATAAACTTAATAACTACCACTTGATTAAAACTCGTTGGGATGTTCAGTGCTCTGAGATTAGACAAGATATCACCGCAGTTTAAGTCGAATCAAAGGAAATCAATTAATGAAACGAGAGGTTCCATTCCCTTAAATAGATATAATAATACTCAAAGTTTTCAAAACAATCAAAACAACATTCGATTTTATAACAGGTCCGCTAATATAACCCATTCACCCATTAAAAAAAAAAAAAAA